CAGCTTCATTGAGCCACGGTAGAAAGACAAATATTTATTTCCTGAGCGAGGCACAGAAGTGGGTCTGTACCCAGAATTGTTGATCATGATTAGTTGCATTTCAAGTTTTTATACACAAACCCATTAAATTAGGAATCGAGAGTAACCTAAAGTAGAGCCATAATGATACAATACCAGGACTTCGTTTCTTTTTTACCACTGTTTCCCTCAAGCAGAGCTCATCTGTAGAAACAAAATGAACTTCATTTTACCCCTAACTTGGTAACATTTATAAAACATATGTATATACATACATACATACATACATACGTTAGTTGACCACTTCCCATGGGGGCTTTTCAGGGCCAATTCCCACCCATCCCACCCCAGGGGAGGACATCCACTACACAGTAATCTCGTGCGTGGGAAATTAACGTCTCCTACCCCTAACCCTGCAGGAGACGGGGCCTACGGTTTATTCTTCCTTATCCGAGAAGAATGGAAATCTATCCATTTTTTGATTATAGAAAAGTAACAAATTCTCCTCACTTATTTTAAGACCATGAGTATCGTTCCGGCCGGGGCTCGAACCCTCGACCTCCCGCACAACACAATACGGCGCTCTAACAAAAAGTTTGCATTAAATAATAATTTACATCGTGGCTTTTTCGCCATGATAAGTCATACCTATTTTAAGAACATGATCAAACAGAACGGTAGATAAAATCCACCCTCTTAGCTACTCAACGTATACGTTCATATCAGTAAAAGATCTCAATGAGAGGAAGCTGACCCGTATTCATGAAAACGCACAACAGTTTCAAAATGTTTAAAACATTACATCATGGTCCAAAGTGTAAAGATGGTGCATAACAATGAAAAAGTAATAAGAAAAACTCGCGTGATAAATGATGGCGCCAATTAGGAGGTGAATGCTGACACACTGAAGGTCATCAGACTTAAAAGAACCGACGCGCGCTTTGAGGAAAGATTTCAACAGGAAAAAGCAATTTCCTCAGCAGAAAGGGTTCAACTTGACAAATAAACTCTATCTAGTAACGTATTTTGAGTGCCTCCTTTTCAATTTGAAAAATACTTTAAAAAACGTTAGTTCATGGATGAGAAAGATTACAACAAACTTGGTTGTAGTTTTATCTACGGCTTAATCCTTGTCTAAATGTTTCATTTCCCGTGGAGCTGTGCGCTCAATGTGTGCGTGCTTGTGAAAGAAAAACAGATTAATGACAAAGAAGAGAAAGATAAATAAAGATGAATTACATTCAAAACAGAGCCTTCCTGTTGAATAAGTATCGCATATCAGCAGGTGCATTCCACCAGCCACCATTGTTTTCCATCGCTTGCTTTTTTCGGCATTAATTTTTTCAGAGGTGAAGAATTCTGTCTGTATAACATCGCAAGTGTATTTCAACTTAATCAAGGACGACGGTGGCCAGTTTTAAAGAAAGAATTTGCCAAATCTTGTATGAACCATGTGCACATGAAATTGGGTGAGTGTTTTGTTTAAATATCATGCATAAGCATATTGTCTCTGTCGACGCTACAGCTTTTCTCTACATTTAAGATGACCTTGCCTCGAGAAAACCTGTTAGAAACGGCGATACTGTCTGGAAATCTAGGACATCAAAATTTTTCGGTACAAATAACTTGCGGCAACATAAGAAAAACTGTGGTTAAATCAAATCAAATTTAATTCACGTGGTTGAGTCATGGACTCTGAATTACAAACACCTCTACAAGAAATACCCAAAGAGCGTTTTCAAGCACTCACGAAAATCACAAAGGCCTCCTCGAAGTTTTCATTAGCGTAGGTTACCTTGTTAGAACAGTGCAGAAAGCCTTTGTTAAGGAAGACAAGTTTAAACTTAACATGGAGTGTACGGCGATAGGACACGAAAAGACATAAAGCGGTGAACTCTTAACAATGGCTTTTTTTCATTTTTTCTGGATCGCAAGTATCATAACGGAGTTCAGACTAAAGAAATTAATGATAGCTCTGAATACAAAGTACTCAGAGAGGAACCTGGGACTGATGATCATGATCGCGACCTTTGCGCATAACATGCATTCTCTACTAAAAAGGAAAAAAAAGGAACAAATGCCTTGTGTTACCCACGTAATATCAACATGAACACAATGTTTTCTTTAAAGCAAATAGCCTTAAAAAAAATCTGCGCCTCTCCCTTGCTGCTGTATAAACTCTCATAACCGCACGACGTGCGTGCCTTACTATGTTAGACTGAATGTCAGTAGAACAACACATAACTAAGTATTTTAATGACGCATTTCTAACTTTTGCGAGTATCATAGCTTATTTATTACTCTCAGGTTTACATTCACCTACATTAGAGTTCAGGATGAGTATTCAAGGTTTAAGCCCAGTTGTTGGGTTAAAACGCCCCATTGCTAACCAAAATATAAACTGAGGTACCAGTCAACTGTCATCCGCTGACCTAATGAAATGTTGATAAGAAGAGACTGAGATAGCGGTCTGGAGTTGACCGGCATCTCATTCAGGGAGAGAAGCTACACTCCTTGTCACTTTTTACGGTTAATTTTGCTGTAAATTGTGTTATTTATTTGTTTCATTACTATACTTTGTTCATTGATATGTTTATCTTAAGGTAAGTTTATCTTCTCACCTTTCCTCTGACATCTACTCAAGGAAGGAAATGGTGAAGAACTCACTAACAGTCAGCTCGCTTGCCTAGTGTATTTTAAACCAAAAAAAAAAAAAAGAAAAAGTTCAAGAACTGTGTTTCGTGCTGTTCGGCTCAAGGGTTAAATGTGAAACGTCTGATAGAGGTAATCCAATGAAATGGCGTCAAATTGACGGTAGCTTTTTTCGTTATCGAGAATTTTTACTGAACAGTAACGTTACGGCTCCAGTTATCTGCATTAATTACAACCTCGTCATTCAACGTAATTTCACGATTTAACGCAAAGTATTGAGGATATCACGTAAGTACGGACTACAGTAATTATCACCTGAAAACCTAATTTCTGTTATCAAAACACGATTCTACAATTTGCTTTAATCTAGTTCAATTTTCGCTATATATCACAGGCTGTTTGGGCACGAACTACGTTCACTTTCTTTTTTGGAAACATCTTAGTTTTGGAGAAAGAAATGGCATACAAAGATTCAAAGTTATTATTTTTTTAACAAAATCACGATTATGGGAAAACATAGGACCTTGCACTCGAAGCGTCACTGAAAAATATTCGAAAAAAAAAAAAAATCAGGGCACTTTCCGCCATGTGCGACGAGTTTTTTTCCATTTTTAAACTTCACCAGCTTGAACGATTATCATCCGGTTTAAGTCTACACCACATAATTGCCTAAAAGTTATTACTCTCTTCTGCCCACGCATTACGCCGACTCTTTGGGTGCACTATAATAAGTTTTAATTTTTGTTTTCTTTTCACTTGAAACCCAAAGCGCTCAGTAACCAGTAAACCTCTTAATTTGGCGACAGGCCCAGTGAGTCCGTCTGACCCTGGCCTACAAATCACCGCTCAGCAATTTCTATTGCGTCCATTTTCAAAACATGCAAGAGTAAACATCACAGAAGCATTGTTTTACCACAAATGATGCTATTTTTCCTCCTTGGAGCGTTTCTTTGTCGTTGGTAATAAGGAGGTGTTACACGCAGAGAACTAAATGCTCCGAGTAATTAATATCAGAATCCTACGCGGCGGGTGGCGGATTATTTCTCAACTGATTCACGGTTGATTCACGGTTGATTCACTCCGTTCCGGATGCAAAGTTTTCTTCACAACACGACGGCAATAGACTACAAGTAGCTTAATATATATTTTTCTTAATCTGTCTAACGATCCATTCGTGAACGAAAGAAACCGGAGAAGCAAAACACCGATTTCCGCTCGCCCTCTTTATCCTTTTATTTACCCGCAACCAGCCAAGAAAATAACTGAGAAAGAGAGGTCCATTACAGTTTAAAAAATCATCGGTATACAATATAGAAAACATACAATCGTAATACTGTATGTAGGAATAGCATTTGTTGCCCTTTCTCTGACAGCAGTACCGCGGCAATTTATCCGATAAAAAGGAACAATTCGGCGTTCGGTGTTACTTTTCATGTGTAATTGTTCCTCGAGGAATACTTTTTTGTAGACGTCCGTATTTTCTTGTTGCCTTCCGCACCATTCAGGTCTCTTGGTTAACACTTTTTCATCAATTTTGCAATTATGAACTAAACGCTCTAATACAAATCGGAGCGAAAAATAAACCAGCTCGGCTAGGTTGTTTTTGTCTTAATCTCATTTGAAAATTTTTTAGTTGTATTTTTTCTTTATTCCTCTTTATTCTTATATTTGATCTTCCGTTTCAATGTTTTCAAGGACTCGTGCGCTCAACCCGCTGCCAAAATCAGCATTCTATCTTGGTTCTTCAGCCGCATTCTCAGTATTCACTTCTTTCTACACGTGTATTTGAATGTTTACACTTCTGTTTAATTGTCTTTTGACTTCTTAGCTCCACGGGTGAGAGTTGTGATTACGAGTGTATTACTTTTCAAAATCACCACTCAGGCAGGTGGTACATTATGCTCGCACGTAGTCACAAAACATGCGACCTAACATAAAAACCTTGAGCCTTGTTCATCGCATTTTCTGATTGTACAAACGTTGTTTCATTACCGTTCGTTTTTCAAGAGGTAATCATTTGTTTTCCTGTGTATTAACTCACAATAGACAGATAAAAGGCTGCGATTGGTTAATAACTCGGCAATATGTTCTCGCGCGTACAAAGCTGGTTCTTTGCTAAAAACAGAAAATAACTTCAAACAGGGAGAACTTGTAGACAGGCATTTCCTTGCTGAGTGGGAGGAATTGAAGGGTTAGCGTCCAGGAGTTTTCTCCTTGGCTCTGAGAAATCAAACAGCACTCACCTTGTGTAGAGAAAGTGATGTTGACACTCAGGAATGTTCAGTAACGCTTCTGATTGGATTAGGCATTAATTACCGTCAGAATAGTGTCAATCAACTGCTAGAAAAGATTGTGTTTGATTTTGTTTGTCGAGGAGCGCAGGAGCACACGTTTCGCTGGCTTAGATATCGTCGCGAGTTACTTGAACCGTTGGTCCTCTATGTCTCAACTGAGGGAAAATTTCAGCCCCTGTACCAAACTCAAACTGGTTTGCGTATATATTTGTGTAAAGGGGGTGTAGAAACAATGAAGAAGACGATAATGTATTCGGTGAGGGAAGATTTAAGCTCAAACGATTGCTTATTAGGCTGGTTATCAATCGAAAATGTTGATGTATACCATATATAAAGGAACGAGTGTGGTGTGGATACTGACGGAATTTCATTATGACTTTCAGCAAACCATGGTAGCACACGAGGAGCAAAGAGCGAAAACCTGCAACAACTGCGGTGATATGTGTCCAGGATTTTCCGCACATTACTGGCGGTAGGTAGTAAATTGTTTCACTGCACTGAGCAACAGGTTCCGTATTCAAGTGAACGAAGAACGGCTAAGAAACGCTTTTGTTCTCAGCACGATTGTCGTCTGTGTAACTCTGAAGTGGCACGCAAACTAAGCGCAGATTATTGAAGAGAACTGCACCTATCTTGCCTAAGGCAATATGAAACAATTTAGCTTGAGGGGCAATGTGCTTTGGAATTCTGTATATCAAGAATCGGGACGCCATCACAAAGTAACAGTGTATGGTTTTGTCCGAAAGATTAGATTGGTATTCGAGATACCGTACGTCCATAGCAAGGGTCAACATGAAAGATACAATTCCCTGCAGTTCGCTGTTCCTCCTGCGCTTCCGAACTCACAGTTCTCTCGAAAGTGAAACAGATGACAGAGTATGGATTTGGTGAAATCAACATTGACAACAGTTGACCTAATTTTATGGCCTCTTAGGCACTGATTGTTGTAATTGGCTTCCCTTATGAACATCATGTCTTGTACCTACATTAGTTATATCTCTTTCGGTCGGCTTTTGAACGGGGGGTGCGGATTGATTTCAAAGTTTATAAGCACGCGAGAGGCTTTTCTTTAAAGGCTGTCTGTCGCCCCTTGACACTCTCGTGGTTGTTTGTTTAGGATCGCTTCATCCGCCACGGGTCCCAGTGGCATACCCCTTTCGCTCGAAGGCCCACTGCGTTCTTTCTAAAGCCTTCTACGCTCAAAAACCCAACGCTGAGCGGAATAATCGCTTTGAATTAAATATGTTGTCGTATTAAGCTGAATTCTAGTCGTAATAACAGACAATCCTACAGCTGCGTGGAAAGGGGTTGACCCATTTTCCGAATTCTCAAGTACTGCGATCTTGGAAGGATATTTAGTGGTGAACCGAGCTGTCAAGTGCAGATAAGACGGGTGGGAACTCAAAGTATTTTGGTCTTTTGACGTCTGACTCATCATGTCTAATACATAGCTTTGGAAAATGAAAGCTTAACGAATTAAGCAGCGAGATTTAAATCTAAATACGAGATTTACTTTGTCCCTACGGAGTGGACACTTCGGTTATAAACACGAGCGAATTATGCTCTTAATTAGCGTCGAGTTCGTTTAGTACTTCCTAGCCCGGAAACTGTTGGGCGCGCGCTGAAATTGAGAAATACCAGCTACCGCGCACATTTCGTACACTGTATTTTATCGGTCTTCTAAAAAACACCGCCGTTATTATCAGTATCTAACGACATGTGTGTATGGTATCCCAAACGCGAGAGCAGAAAAGTTTCAGTCGCAGCGCACTGTGCGTTGCCCTTTGTAATACTAATCTGAGTCACTGCTTCCTACAGGCACAAAGAATTTCATCCTCTGTCTCTTTCGACCGACATTTTTATTGGACAAAAATGTCGCTCACACACATGGCTGTAAGCTGTTCGAGAGATTTAATTCCTTATCTACACTCAGGACGATAGCATTTTTTTAAAATCTGTTTATTCTCGGATCTTCATTTGAAAGGAATATGTCGAATAAGGAAAACTTTGGGTATCGTTTTTCCTGCGGGAATAGTATCACGAACTACATGTTTGACCTGCCAAAAAGAGGTGGCAAATTCTCGTGATTCTAAAATTCACCTACTTCGAATTTTTCTGTGAAAAAGTTACCGAGAGAAAACCGGCGACCAGTTTTTTTTTTTTTTCGAACGTGGAAACTTTTGTCTTCAATGTTGCTTATGTATGTGATGGTACAGCAAAATCGAAAATTTTCTTTTTGATACACCAAATTAAATAGCGCTGTTTAAAAATGTAATTTTGTCTAAATCACTGGCAGGTTTATTCAAATGCAAAATTCAGAAAGGTGACAATTTTCCATTTCGATGAAAATAAAATCATAAGGACTTTAGGCAGACATTGTTTAGTTCAAGCTAAATATACATTTGCGTTCCTATTACAGGACTCGCTCTTACGAAAATAAGAAAACGCCTTAGAAATTGCGATTACAAGACTAGATTGATTCATTCTTCGGTAAACGGCTTTGTTTGACAGATAAATCGTATTTTCTCGAACAAACCTCGTATATATCATGGATAAGAAGAGCTGTCGACCTGACAAAGTTTCTCTAAAGATCTCATTGTTATTAGCTTAATGTTATTAGTTTTGAGTCTAGATATCATAAAGGGGAAGACTACATAAGAATTCAGTAAACTTCATTATTATTATATTTTGAATTTAGAGTGCACACCAAAGCGAAAATTTCTTCCATCATTCTTTAACAAGGTGTGTGGTCTTCTTTGAAACAAAGTGTAAATACAGGAAAAGCTGCGGCAATAATCTCGTAACGCGTTGAACATTAAATTAAGTCTCCAAATCGGGATTGTGTTTTCACGGAGGGATTATTCAAAATCGGCTTTTCTTTGAGTAACAAATCTTACGAAAATGTTCATTTTATACATAGCTTATTGCAATGTGAAAGCAAAATATTGACAACTTTCGAGTTCCTGGAGGTGGAGAACTGGAGAGCTGAATAGATGGTGGTTTATTTGGGTTTTATCTTGATATAGTGTTCGAGACAGCTGTTAAATTTCCATGAACATAAAATATATATATTTTTAATTCAATTACGTGTTAGATTGTTTCCAAGACTAGAGCTATATTTTGTATCTTTTTAGCCTTTGTGGTTATTTCTGTCAGATAATTTATTTTGTTGTATGTAACGAAACCACCGTTTTAAAGGTTGGTTTTGAACAATATTTAGCAATGCTGAGAGGAAACAGGCACAGAAAACGTGACAACAATTTTGATGGGTACTAATACGAAGGCCATAATACATACAAAGTTATTCCACATCACTTTTGGCACCTTTGAAAGGATAGATCATATTAACTTTCCAGTAACCAGTTTTTATCAAAAACCTGTCATACAAGATCTTTTTGGTTTTATTTTTTCTTCTTTGTGTGTGATAATAATCCTCATGTAGTGTAGTAAGTACATATAATGACAAATCTCTGAATTGTTCTTTAGTTTTTTCTTCAGAGAAAAAATAACCATAAGCAAACAAGACTTATGACACACGAGAGTAGAGTGTCAACTTGAACTAAACATCTTTTAAAATTGCTGTGCTTTTTTAACAGGCTGTGTATTAGCATACATGGCTTTTTAAGCACAAGTAATTTTGACAGTCTGTGCTTAGAAGGTGCCAAATCACAAAGCAACTGATCTAATGGGACTTATAACAAAGGGGCTGTGTTGGTGTGGGGAATAATACCTATGATCCACTCTTGTATTGTTAAACAGTAGAATCTTGTGAGTGCATACTAGCCTTTGGTTGACCAAAGAAGGCAGTTCTCAGACTTGTAGATTTTCTATCTTGCTGTGTTTTGTTTCAAATAAATTTGAGGCAGTTCTTAGGCATGCCCAAGCTTGCTAATTTTATTAATTCAGTACATTTCCTATTTTAAAGCTAATCAGTCAAACAGATGTTCTACATTTAAGGTTATTTCTAGCACAAAGCCTTTTGGAAATCAATCCAAAAAAAGAAAGAACAGTGTAGAATGATTCTCTCAAGAACACTTCAATACACTTTTCCTGTCTATCTTGAATACTTATTTAGTTCAATTTCCTGATGAACATAAATGTGAGAATATGATCGGCTGGATTTCATCTCCTTTCCAGTGATATTATTTTTGACACAGTGGGATAAACACTTATTTGACACTTAACAGACACATCTCCTTTGACCTGTCTACTTCAACCTGTCTTCTTCTCTGTGTTCTTTTTGTTCAAAGGAGAGGTAACTTGTTTAAAGAAAAATCGTCATAAATGGCTTCATTGTGTCTGCACCACATTGCAAATACATAAGATTCACACTTTTTAATTCATTTTTTCAAGAACAGAAGTAACTTTTAATCTATCATCTGTCTAATTTACACTACCTGTAACAAAATAGTGAATTTTTTGGTGGCTTTCTGATTCATGCTAAGTACTAGTATTTAATTTTGTGATGTTTTGTTGAAATTTTCACATGTCTATGTTTTGAACTGAAAGTCCAATCAGACCACAGAAACTTAAAGTTAGATAATTTTTATCATTTTTAATTTGTTTCCAGTCTTTTTCTTAACTGGTTTGCTATAATAAACTGCAGGAAAATTTGTCAGCACTGCAAGTGTCCTAGAGAGGATCACAACATCATTGAGGATGATGCTCGTGCAGGATGTAGTGTATACCTAGGAGATGTAAACCATTCTGGCCTTCCTAGTGATGATGATAGTGGTTGTGCATTAGATGAGTATGCATGGGTTCCACCAGGGCTAAACCCTGAGCAGGCAAGTGGAGTTGACCTTAAAAAATTGTTCTCTCACAATGATATCTTGGATCAGTATAATATTGTTGTATGGTATTCAAGTGAGAATTGTTGTCAATGTGGTTCTCATGTTACAAATAAGATTAGGAATATCATTGGAAGAGTATCATTATTTTGATATTTGTTACTGTCAATTCAAAAACATTGAATAATTTCCTTTTGTGTGTCTTTGAGGAAAGCTTTGCAATTATTTTTCATCACATGATCATCATCATGGTTCACTTTATAAATTTTAAATTATAGTTTTTTGAAAATTTTCAGCTATGAGGATTTTGGTTTGATGAGAATGAAACATAGTTTGTATGAACCAGGGTTAGATTATATTTGTATCACATATCTTTGTATCTTTAAAGGACTCCAATTTACATTGCAATGAAATATGTGTTATCACATGATTCAGACAAACTTAATTTATTATGTCACAATTTTAGGTTCATGCCTACATGAGTTCACTTCCAGAGGAAAAGGTTCCATACATTGACAGTATTGGAGAAAGACACCGTAACAAACAGATCATAGTGCAGCTGCCACCATATGACAGCGAGGCAAGATATTGTAATGACCTAACAGACGAAGAGAAAAGAGAATTGCGAATCTTTGTGGCATTAAGAAAAAGAGACGCCATAGATCGTGGAGTTGTAAAACAAATTCCAGATGTCGCAGAAGGCTACAGCTGTAGAGAGGTAAGACATTTTTGTTTTGTGAGGGCTTCTTTGTTGTTGTTTTTGTTGATGAAAGGAGTTGGCCAAAGTTGATGAAGGAGTTTTTTTTTTATGGCATGCATACCTGCCTGTGCATATGGTATTGTCTGTAACATGAAGTGAGTAGGAGTACTGTGACCCCCCCCCTCCCCCCTTGGAAATGAAAGGTGAACTCGCTGTTTATTTCTTATTGCAGTGTGGTGATTGTGTCAGCCCTAGATCCATGGCAGTGTTTGCACCAAGAGCTGGGCAGAATACAAGTTGGCATGCTTCCTGTTTTGTTTGTTACATTTGCAAGGAGCTTCTAGTGGATTTGATCTACTGCTACAAGGATGGACGGATTTTCTGTGGAAGGCACCATGCAGAGACATTAAGGCCAAGATGTGCTGCGTGCGATGAGGTGATTAAATTTTGTGAAATTATGCCAAGGAAAAGTTAAATGCTCAAGGACCTTTCTACTCAAAGCAAAAAATTGCAATTGGAAGGCACCAGGCAGAGACATTAAGGCCAGGGTGTGCTGCATGTGATGGGGTAATTCAATTTTAAGAAATTTTATCAAGGAAAGTGAGACTTCATGAACCTTTTTTAATACCCCAAGAGTAGGGGATTCCTGAGGACTAGGTATAGCTTACTTTCTTGCAAGTGACACCAACAATACTCAGTACACTCTTATGGCTTGTTATTCACCCCTGTAAATGTCTCTTCCATGTCATAAGATGATGTGCTTACATTGTTTGGTTTTCTTCATCTTGTTAGATTATTTTTGCTGAGCAGTGCACAGAAGCTGAAGACCGGTGTTGGCACGTGAGCCATTTTTGTTGCTTTGAATGCGACTGTCCACTTGGAGGTATGCGGTACATAATGAGGGAAGGAAACCCACTCTGCTGTCATTGTTTCAAATCAATGAATGCTGAATTTTGTGATGCCTGTGGGGAACCAATTGACCCAGATGCAAGTCAAATGATGCACAATGGACAACACTGGCATGCAACAGACAATTGCTACTGTTGTTACAACTGCTGCAAGCCTCTCCTTGGACAACCTTTTCTTCCCAAGAATGGAGAAATTTATTGCTCACCAGAATGCAGTCGCCGCATTCCAGCAGATTACCAAGGTCATGAACAATTTCCTGATTTTCAACCAGGTTTTGATACAAAACGTTACGCTGCTCAGGAATTATGCACTTCTGATCTTGGAACACTTGAGTCAGACTATGTGACTTCGAGTACTCACTCAGCATCTGGGGGGTTGAGTGCTCCTTATGAACCAAGTGTTGATGGTGACAGTATTGGCCAATATTCAGGGATTTTGTCCCAACACAGAGTGGGGACCTTTGATAGACAGCATCACCATGATGGCCCTGTAAGAATTGGAGGATTGGCTGGCACAGTGTTTGGTCATATTGAAACTGCTGGTTATTCAACCGACGTCTTTGACAGTGTAAGTGTCCAAGGAGGAAGCTTTGGTGGGTTTAATTTTGACAATGACAGATACCACAGGGGGCAAAATTTCCAGCCACTGTCAAATGTGAGGGAAGCAGTTGATAGCTTTGACAGAGGTTACCAAGTTCAAATATTTGACAAGGAGAGTACCTCTGACTTTATAAGAGCTACACCACTGGATGTTGAGTCTACCAAAGACAGTAATTATGGGACTATTGAGAGCAGGGATAGTCACTATGGAACAAAGGATTTGTTGGACAGTCGAGAAATAAACAAGGCTCATAAGCATGTCAAAGTAAAGGAGAGACATACCTCTGGATGTGCCTCTGACTCAAGAACACCCAGAAATTCCAGCAGACACACCTCTGGATATGCCTCGGACTCAAGAACATCCAGAAATTCCAGTAAACACACTTCAGGATATGCCTCAGACTCAAGAACATCCAGAAGTTCTGGTTATAGATCAAAGGCAAGACAACTGAAGTACTATGATATAGATATTGAGGATAATAGTAAAAAGTGTTTTTTCGGTGAGGGTGAAAAGGCGCGGCCATTGTCAAGATCTTTGGAAAGTTTGACTTGGAAGCCAAGTTCTATACCAGCCCCTCCACGGTGTAATCACATAAGAACTTCTTCAGGTACATATATGTCAGCAAGGAAAGAACACATGATCAATAGAAATGGCTCTACTCCAAAGGAGCACAAGACACGAGGAAACAATCCTAGCGCAAGTAAATCAACTCAGTTACCTTGGGAAGACCCATTTGCTAATCCAGTGGATAAAAGCACCTCAAAGCGTCTTAGGCGTCCCAGAATTACCTACACAGAAGATGGTTTCTTTGAAAGAGCCCCACCACAGGTTGTCAAAACATCTGACGCAGGGAAGAAAAGCAAAAACAAACACAAAAACTGCTTGGTGCAGTAATTTAATACAACTTCTGGGAATTATAGTGATTACTTGCTTTCTTTAAACAAAACAAGTTTGTGCTTCAGTAAAGTCAATCATTTCAACTTTTTGTTCTGCCTAGAATCAAACGAAAGAGTTATGTAAACTACAACCTGGCTCTCATTTTGTTTGTATCAGTTATTTACAGATCATTTGCCTTATTATTCATCGTTAGGAAAAACGTTTTATGGTTATTGTTTTGTGAGGGCTTGTTTGTTGTTGTTTTTGTTGATGAAAATGCCAGATTGTAAAAGAAAATACTTGACAAGTTGTTATTATATGACACCACGTAAAAGCAAAAAATGCACAAGGGTCGCCATCTATGTTAACTAAACTGAAGAAACAAAATGAATAGGAAAAGAACTATTAGTAGGGTTGAATGGAAGTAATCCAGTAAGACAACAAATTTTGCGGAGGAACATCTCAGTAATTTGATGCTATCATGGAACCAGTAATAGGCTTGCATGACAAATGCAATTAAAATCAGAAGAATATTCCAAATCCTGATTTCTTTTTGCTTTTAATTCTGGAATTTGGTTTAACTGGTCCAAGTGGTTCCTTTTTTCTTTTCTTTTCCCCTTTTTTAAAGCTTTCTACACTGTTTGTTGGTGTTGGTTTTTCTTTGATGGAGCAGTGTGGGATTTTTTAGTTCTGTTTAATGTTTAGAACTGATACAGGGGGCCTATCATTTAAAGATTTTTGGCCTAAAATGTGTATGTTTGGTGAGCTCAAGAGTGCCAATTGTTTATTCTTAAGTGTTGCTGTTAGTGTTTGCTGAAGTAATGTTATTCTAATAAGTATTAATTGTACATATTAATATATTATTAAATCAACTAAACTTATCAAGTAACTTATTCTAATGACTAATGAAAAGTTTTCCGTAAAAGCATTGACAATTATTGTTGCTGGTTTGTGAATAAATTGCAGCAATCACTTTTGAGCACATCAATAGTTGCCTTAATTGTGAACAGGAATATTGACATCTTTTGTTTTCTCATCATCCAACTAAAGAAGAGATAGCCAGCACACAAGCTGTAATGGGTTGTGCAATATAGACAGTACAAAGGCCCCTTACTGGCTGGCTTCCCTAAGGCTTGCATGTTGAGGCTGTGCTACTTTTTCAAATGAAAATCTTTCAGCTTTCAATGCAAGCTAGTCTAAATCCCAAGGTTGTCACTAAGTACCAGCTACTGGTGAAATTTGTTGTTTGAAAAGCAGAGATCACCTGCGGAATTTTGGCTGGATAAAGCGTAATGGGCTTTTCTGAAGGTTACACACCTACAATTGTTTGCCATCTTTAAGCCACCTCACTTGAAACTTCAGCTGGCAGTCTGTCTTGGCTACAACTGTGAAATCCCTGATTTAGGGTACTAATTTGAAATCCTGACCCAGGTGCCTCCATTATTATACTTTATTATTCCCTGTGTCTCACAAGGACTGGGAACTACCGAATTCACGAATTTGATTTGCTGAAATCAATATTGAAAGCGGTCTAGATTTTCCCATCTAGACCGGCATCTAGACCAGTCTAGAAAAAAAGGTACAAAGAATATAAAAAATTGGCATACAAGACACAGCCACATAATAAACATCTCATTAACTGAGCTAGGGCGGTCTGTATGGGAGAATCCTGACCTCGGTCGCTGGTACAGACCTCACTGCGTTCGGTGTGTACTGGTGACCTCCCGCTCAGTTAATAAGAACTAAGTAGAATTAACGAGACAACTGTTAAATGAGACAAATGAATTAAATCCAAGCTGGGTATCTTTTCCCTCATTCCAATCTTCCTTGGATGCCTTGTACCTCCACCTGCCCCTTCCCCCCCCCCCTACAACATACAGTGGAACCTTGGCTAAGCGGCACCATATTAAGCAGTCACCCACTACTACTCAGTCAGTTGTCAAAGTCCCAAAATATTTCCCCCTAAATCACTGTTATTTCCTCTTCTATCAAACTGAAACCTGTTAAACAGTCGTGGTCATGTTTCACTCAGTCTCGACAGCCTGTTTGTATTGTATTTCACCAGTATTGAATGGTCACTAAAAGCGAGACCACTCAAATAAAACTAAGAATAATCTTTCATTTTCTGAATCCATGTTTCTCTCCCAAAATCAAAGTAAGTAGTGTCTTTTAGCGAGATTTTGTACATTAAGTGGTCAATCAGGGCATAAAGTAGCATTGTCTATCATTTTTACCATACCCCTAATCTGTGCAACGTGTAATAAGTGGTCACCCCACCATTCCCCATGGGAGTAAATATCCTCACATGATCAGTTTGACAATGGTAGAAGGAACATATAATTGATGAATGGAGAACATAGCCTCTATTTCTTGACAGTCATCATTTGGTCACATGGTCAGTTTGACAATGGTAGAAGGAACATATAATTGATGAATGGAGAACATAGCCTCTATTTCTTGACAGTCATCATTAAGTCATGTACATCACCACACTGTTGCCATAGAGTACACACACAAAAAATAAAAGCTTCTGATCAATTCCATAATTAAGACAAGTGATAATGTTGAGGAACGCGAGAAGGTCTGTGACATGGGTAAAAACTTTACTCTTGTCCGCCATAATTTCAAATTGGTCGCCATTTTTTTTTTAAGGTAGTTTTTCCAAGTTCCTTACCTCACTGACAACGAACACTTGTTGGAGGAGTTTCTAAGACGTAATGCCCGTATGAGACAAGAGCACTCGTTCACACTTTCAAGATCTTGTAATGTCTGAATCGAATAACCATCTTACCTTTCCAGACGACCGCATGGCTGCAGCGCTTTCCGCCCACCAACAACGCACTCATTTTTAAAAAATCTTATCGATATTCCGGACCCAAATTCCCAGACAAGGGAAGAAAGAAAAAAGAAAAGCTGAAAAGCGAGAAATGATGCAACCGAGCCGGGAATCACCACTGAATTTGCCCGAACGTGCGTGACCGATTTTTCGCGCCAAAAAAAAAAAAAAAAAGTTCAAGAACTGTGTTTCGTGCTGTTCGGCTCAAGGGTTAAATGTGAAACGTCTGATAGAGGTAATCCAATGAAATAAATTTTCGAGATTTCCGGTCTGAAATTGAATGGAACGGGAAAAGTTCCGCGATGAGTTTTCGAAAATTTAGGAATACGTTTTCAGTGTACCCTCTTGGATACGGCCGGACACGTTCCATTCGACCAGCGAAAATACCGACATTTTGAATCGGTGATTTTTGTTCAATGGAAAGCGCCCACGGTCACCTTGTGCCCACCCACGTTTCACCCGCATTATCCGTTTTATCCTCTAAAATATACCCATTGGTGTAGCCAAGAGATTGTCCTTTCCATTGATTTGCAGTGCTTTTTGAAAAGTTCACCTTTTTTTTCAAGTCAGTTGCTAGATTTCGAGACTTTTATACCCCACTTGACGGCCTGAGCTAAACAAAAGCGCAAGGTAATAATTTCAGCCTACGTGACTAGCAGTTTTATAACCTGCCAGGTGCGCAAGCTTGCGCGCTTTGAACGTAACTCTCGTGACGTGATTTTCGATCAGGGTTTTAATTCAAAATGTTACAACGTTCATCCAACCTTGGAGCATGCGACTCACTGTCTCTAATGCGACCGCACGTTCAAGGGGCAAGAGCTCAAAAACCGATTAATGCTAATCTTTAGAGTAAATCCTGGAAAATCCTTCCTGCAAGATTTACTCAATTGCTTATCCGTTCTTAATCGTTTATTTTTGAAGAGGAAAAACAACAACTCATATTAAGATGATAATAACCAGCTGGATCGGAGTTTACGAGACTACAAGCGGGAGTCGATTGGCCAATTAGAGTTTTAGTTTTAAAATCCGTCTCGTTTCCGTCTTTGAAGAATTACTATTTTCCACTCTTTCCTCGACGCAGTTTTTAGAATGGAAGGACAGAAGAGGAACTTGATTCTTTCACCTTAATCAATTTTACCACTCTAAATCTATTTACTGCCCTACATTTCTTTATCAAGTTATAATTTAACGTCTGATGATTTACTGCTAAATCAGTAAATATCCTTAGTTGATTGATTTCGCTCTTTTCATCACCATTCTGCTGGAAAATGTATCGAAACTGTGACGAGAAATTCACCTCTGGTTATTGATGGGAGCCAGAACGTCACTCTGACGATGCCTTCTTGAGGTCACAACATGTTATTATCATTGCTCTAAGTTTTCGCAAGAATTTCTTCTTCAGTTATTTTACTTTACTTTATTTTACTTCAATTATTTTAGTTTACTAACTAACTAGTTTAGGGGTCTTAAAATATATTACCAATACTTGGCTGTGTAGCCGCGCGATGCGGTTCCAGTCTAGGCCCACAAATTGACCCTTGCTCACCATAGAGTCTCCAGTAGCTCAGTGGTTAGAGCATCCGACCAGATCACGGTGGGTCGTGGGTTCGAGTCCTATCTGGGGCTCGGATTTTTCCATTACACTAAAAATTGTTTCATTTCTAAAATTTATTCTAATCAGAAATTTGTGCATGGAAATGCTTCGGTCGAACCTCGATGATCCGGCCCCGTTAGGACTTAAAAGCCGTTTACACGGCAGAAAAATCGGGTACGGACTTGTTAAAAAAGGAGTCCGGACCTGACAATTTTGCCCGTGTAAACAATCCGTACCATGTTTTGGGGGATGGGTACGGACCCGTGTTTTTTCTTGTTTTGGGGCCATAGTCGTCTATGGCCCCAAAACCAGAAGAAAAAACGAGTCCGGACGATAACTATGTATATTTTTAACTTGTTTCTATTTATACATTTTACATCATCCTACTCTTATTTTATCTAATTTATTTTAGGCAGGTCCACATCAGCTTTTTGCTGCCATGTATTAACTTAACCTGCTTTACCAAATAAATGTATGTATGTATGTATGTATCACGCGTCGCTATTTTGTTTACAAGAATTACCGTATTTACTCGAATAAGCGCCGCCATTGATTAAGCGCCGCATCTGGGACAAAAAAATAAGCGCCGCCCTCGAATAAGCGCCGCACCTCCGATGCAGCGCTTATTCGAGGAATTCCGTATAACCAGGAAAAACACTATAAAACAATTTTAACACAGCATCGGCTATTTATATTCTTTAAATGTGATGTTCTTTAGTTCAAAGTGACTGTATTTCTCTGCTCGGGTTATTAAACGCTCGGGGTTTTTTCACCGCATGAATTCTAGATTTACTATCAGTTTAGCATCAGTCCATAGGAAAATTGACAGATAGAAAGTGTACCGTTCAATAAAAATATAGAAAAAATAAATTTGTCTGGTACAATTTTTAAACTGAAGCGCCGCCCTCGAATAAGCGCCGCACTTGTGGCGCGAAAAATTAAATAAGCGCCGCGGCGCTTATTCGAGTAAATCAGTGCGGCCGGTACACATGTTCGATAACAGCACACAGCTGTACCAAATACTGTAGTCCCATGCAAGAAATTGGTCTGGTCCCCCAAAAACTGCAGTGTAAACGCAACCTTGCTAACTTGGTTCTTATGCCTCTTTTTGTCCGATCCGTGATAAAACATCATCCGTGTAAACGGCTAAAATTATGCGGTCCGTACTACTTTTTTGACACGTCCATACCCGATTTTTCTGCCGTGTAAACGGCCTTTTAATCAGTCCGGATAATCGAGAGTCCGGATAATCGAAAATATGAATATTAATGAGACAATAACGTAAACAAAAGAAATAAAGAAAACACACTTTAAATTCTAAAAGTCTGCTTCGATGACTCTCCGAGTGCTCGATCTTTTGAAAGCAGAGGAGGTAATGCGCTGTTTTAAACGCACTTTTCCTGAATTTAGACATAATCTCTGAATTTTTTTTACCTCATAAACTTTGGAAGATCAAAGCTCATTAATAATCATGAAAAAAACGGGACCACAGAAAAAGCCCGGATAATTGAAAAGTCCGGATAATCGAGGTCCGGATAATCGAGGTTCCGACTGTACCGGCATCTCTCTCTAATTCTTTTCATTACCAGAACCCCAGGCTACCACCATGGAGTGTGACTTCTTCTCGCAGTTCAGATGAGGCTCGTTACTTTGACTTTTTACCTTAATTGACATACGATAATACTTCTCTACTCCAGAAAACTATATACAACTCTATCTTAGCAATACCTTACCTACTATTTCACTGTCAGAGAGTCATTGAAAGCCATAGTTAATGAACGATCTTCAAATCCAAAAAAACAAGGCAGCTAAATTCATTCTTGACATGGCCAAATATTCTTCTCTAAAGATGCTCTTGAGATCTTAAAATGGAAGCGCTTAGATCAAAGACGACACATGCACCGATGCGTTTTCATTTTTAGATGCTTAAATATATCGTTGATTTTGATGTTAATTTTAAGCATAACACTGCCTTTCATAAATAAAATACCCGCCAGTGCAACAAACTGCATCTTCCAGCTCCCAAAACAAACTGGAGAAAACAAAAACTTACATACCAGGCTTCAAACGATTTCAATGATCTTAATCCAGAAATTCAGGGAACTAAATCAATTCTATTGTTTTAAAGAAAGTGCAGTTTTTATCGTAGTACATTGTAATGTATCAATCTCATCCTTTTATCTTTACTCTTGAACTGTTGGTAATTTGTTCTTTTATTTTCTTTTTTAACTTGTGTTTTTACAGGGCCGTTCTGAAAACCACTTTTGTGAAAACGTACCCTTTCTAAAGATTATTATTATTATTATTATTATTATTATATAGTCTGTTGTACAACTCCTTGACATATGGCCTTTTAAGTACCTATTCCTCTTACTACAGCTGCCTTTAACTCAAAAGGGAATTTCCATGTTCCATGTCTCCTTCTTGCATTTCAACTCTAAATGAGAATTTTAGCATTTAAACTAAATAGATGTAAGCCTTCAGCTTTGAATACCTTCTTGCTCTCAGTACTCTGTGCTGCACTTGTCTCAACTAAAAGCAGAACAGTCTGGTAACAAAAGATGTAGCATATAACCTTTTCTATTTGGCTGTGAGTACCGAATTCCATTTGAGGAACAGTGTACTGAAAGAGGATAGAAATCCACATTCCTCTCTTTAAACAATATTGTTGATAGAATCGATTTTTTAATACATTAGTGACTTCCAGGCAATTATGACATATTAAAATGTAGATTTTCTTACTCTGCTGAGTAAGAAGTGAAGATAACTTAAATTTGTGGTTTGCGAAATCTTTGAAGGCAAATAATGACACTCGACTATCCTTTCCATACAACACATTGCCTGACAGCTAAAATACTCTAACTTACCTTTGAATAACATAAAATTCCGATAGTTTCTTGCAACTTTTCTTATCATTTTGATGTAAAGTAAAACTAATGCAACTATTTTTTGTTTCCAAGAAAATGAAGACACTGTCATTAATCCATAAAGTAACCTAACCACACTGTAAGAACATACTATTCTAGACTAGATACGAGGAATAGGGAATTCTGTACTCAAGCTACATTGTTTATCTCCGTGTCTCCTCTCTGCAGCAAAAAAAACAAGAAAGGATGCTGCTACCTCCCTCCCCTCCCCCTGATTAAATGCTAGTCAATCACAGGATGCCTCTCGGCATTTTTTAGGATTCCCTGGCAGTTTGCTGGTACCCATTTAGAGAGTGCCACTGTGAGAGTAAAGCGCCCTACTCAAGAACACCACAATGACCCCACTGGAGCTACCAAGTCTCCTACTAGCACAGATGGATAGATCAAAAACAAAAATGTAAACTTCTCGTCAAATCACTGATCATCTAATTAAGAAATTTAAAACATAAGAAATAACGTATGATGCACGATCCTCGCAGTTGAGAGCGCTATTTATGCAATAGCGAAAATCAGACCTGAAAAAAATCAGGCCTGTACGGGATTCGAACCACTGACCTCTGCGATACTAGTGCAGCGCTCTACCAATTGAGCTAACAAGCCAACTGGGAGCAGGCCGTTAAGTTGATTCGTAATAAACCCGTGAAAGTGATAAATCAGATACAATGAATATATGAAGTTCAAATATTCATTGTATCTGATTTATCACTTTCACGGGTTTATTACGAATCAACTTAACGGCCTGCTCCCAGTTGGCTTGTTAGCTCAATTGGTAGAGCGCTGCACTAGTATCGCAGAGGTCAGTGGTTCGAATCCCGTACAGGCCTGATTTTTTTCAGGTCTGATTTTCGCTATTGCATAAATAGCGCTCTCTACTGCGAGGATCGTGCATCATACGTATCTAATACCGCAGTTTAAAATACATGAACTTCATATATTCATTGTATCTGATAAGAAATAACCCTATCATTTTGTATGTGTAAGACATAAATCAGGCCAAGTGTCCACGTTTTCCTTCCAAATGCTTTGTTAAAAATGAAATTTAAATAGAAGATCTTTTAAAATATAAAATAGTAATTCTTTGAGATATAGTTTCGTCTGTTGTTAAGTAATAACAAATTGAATCTGAATCGTTGGTAGTAGCTGTGAAAAATTATCTTAGAGCTAAAGTTTCTTGGAAATAACACAGATTATGAACGGAGATAGTAGAGCTTATACCCAGCAATGCTTACTAAATGCGAACTTAAGCTTGATTTCTGCCCCACTCTCCAAAATAGGTCTGTCATGTGCTCATTTCATAAACAGGGTTGGTTATTGAGCCTTATACATACTACACCCTAACTGACCACAATGTTCACTTGAATGCAAAGTTTGCAAGGCTTTACTAAGATGTGCCCAGCACATTCACTCCTGACTTTAGAGAAATTAACAACAAATACACTTAAGTTATCTACCTATTTATTCAACTACTGCCAGCTTCGCAGAATCAAATGGTTTTCAGTTAACTAATCTAAGAACTACATTTGATGCATATTTTGTCTTCTTCTACCACACGGAATTTCTCTCCAGCCAAGGCCATACCACATTTGGAACAAACAAAGCAATCGCGGTGATAGAACTTCTCACCATAAGCTACAAACTTGACACTTCCTTCAATCAGCTTCTCACAAGCTGCACACCTCTTTGCAAAATTACTGCGGTAGCAATCTTCACAAACATTATTTCCTTCATGCTTAGTGAATGGCTTCCCTGCCAAAGGTTGCGAGCACATTGTGCAAGTGAAGCATTCTGAGTGGTACACATTGCCATCATGCTTTACTGAAGCTGTTTTGATCAGCTCATTACACCTGACACAGATCTAAAAAATGAATATCAATATGCCATTCATCAATTTGTAAATCTAGTTCAGATTTTTTCGTATAGCAGAAAGTAAGGGGAATTACTACTGAGATCTTTGTAGTGAAAGGTTAATTTGACAATCCTAATTTACACCCCAACTTGAACATAACAGGACGAAAAATGCGCGCACTGTAAGTACCTCCAGTTGTCCCATACAAAGCCTTAGAAAGTTTTCTAAGGCTAATTTGTATGGGACAACGGGAGGTACTTACAGCGCACGCATTTTCCGTCCTGTCATGTGTATCCCCTCAAGATTTCACACTTTAGGGGGAGCAGAAATGATGAGCTATGACTTTCACTGTGACAAAATGACCTATGTCACCTTTACCTCCTTCCTTTTCTGTCAAAAAATCAAGTATTGTCTCATCACTCACCCTGGCATAACCAGTCTCATAGCACTTTCCACACAGGCGCTTGTCCTCTCTTCTAATAAACTGCTGAGTACCAATGGGTTGTTTGCACTCATCACATGCAAAACATTTCTCATGGAAGGTTTTGCTCTGATATCCAACCTTCTTCTCCCCTGGAGCAAAATCTCCACCACATGCTTCACAAACTTTGGATGGGGTGATTCCACGGCAGGGATGGCATATCAAGTTGTCATCCTTGAAGGTGAAGCCTTGATTCAGCTACAACATCAAAAAAATTTTAAAACTTAGCCATTCTGACCAAGGCTGTACATTATAGACTTTATATATACCACTTTATGGTTTTAATTCCTGAAAGCAGAATCCTTAAACAAAGCTGTAATGCATAATGAAGGGTGTAAAACACAATAGTCCATTTTACAGTGGTGTGCTTGGTTGCCAACCTTTTGAACAGGAGTGCAGTTGAGGGTAACCTTGTTATGATACAGACATTGCACTTTTTAAATTTAAATTACTTTGTTATCATGCTTGCTAGATACCAGCCTCTATCATAACAAGGTCATCTTCAGCCTCACTCCAAATCAAAGTCTTGGCAACCAAGCGCACCAGTGTAAAATGGCCTATTGCACTTAGACCGCTTTTTGATTGACTGTCGTAAAACCAAAGCCAAAGTAATCATGATGACCAATTGGAAGAAAGTTTAAGAACCAATGAGAATTCAAACTAAAAACAAACAAACTGCCTTGGGCAAGCCATCAAGTCTTGAATGGTTCTTGTTTTGTTTCTGATTGGTTAAGAGAGTGGCACAAGTTTTTGGGACCAATCACAGAGCAAAACCAAAGCGATCTTGAAATATTTTTGACACTCAATTGAATATTACTGTAACTACAGGTACTTATTTGATAAGGAATACATTGTGAGACCATAGAATGATGTCCAAAGCCTGGAACTTACCAACGGCTTTTTACAATCCGGCTGTGAACAGACAAAACACTCCTCGTGCCAGTGTTTACCACGAACATCAACATCTTTAGTGCCAGGACCAATGGCATTCTTGCAATTCTCACATGTATTGGCAAATTTTTTGTCATAGCAGTTGATGCAAGAAGGCTGGCCATCCACTGTAACAAATTTCTGGTTTGACAGTGACTCATCACAAAAGTAACAGCAAAGGTGACCTGGATGCCAGTTGTGGTCCATGGCCTGGGAATACTCTCCTACATAGATCAACTGGGAAAAAGATAATTATAAACTTACTACAAAATGACACATCATAAAAAAAGTTGGCTATCAACAAATCAATAAAGCTTAATTTTGATAGTGGTGAGTTGTTTATTGACTTAATATCAACATGAAATTTTTGCTTTGTGTTTTGCCATCGACATGTGATAATGAAGATGACTAATGCAAGTACTTATGCATATGAGCTAGCCCAGATGTAAACTGACCACCAAGGGCCAGCGATTTACTTATTTAATGATCAATACAACAGCAAAACCATGCCTAACATCAAATAAACTTCCATTGCAAAATTTATTATTACCATAACAAATGCATACCTCCTCACATCCTGCACAACGAGGCTTCAGTGACTCGCTCCAGTGCCTTGGACAATATAGCTTCTGCTTTTCTTCATCCCAGCAGTAGATAAGATCAACTAGGAGCTCACCATCTTCTGAGCACACAAAACATTGCACATGCCAGCAGGTGTCTGGTCCAGAGCGCAAGGCAAACACAGCCATCTCACCAACATTCACTTGCATAGTGCACTTATTGCATGACGCTGGCATGGTCAGGCCTGTTTTCACTGCACCTGCAAAGGAAATAATGGCTCACACTATCAGGAAAGTGCGGTTATACTATATACTTCCTCAAAGAAGCAACCACACTTTAATATTTTAAAAGTGCCTAACCCTGAATAAAGTGCCCACCCCGTTGGCCATACTACTCAAGTAAACACCTCCCCCCACCCCTCCAATCCTTCATTTTGGTAATTAGTAGGGCTTTAGAGAAAAACTGTTTTTATAACCACTTTCTTCATAAATTTTTCAGCTTCAGTTAGAGGGGACAGTACAGGAAAATATAGTCTCTTTTCCGTTAAGTCAGTTTTTGCCTTCTCCGTGTGCTTGCCGAGTTCCGGACCTTTATGTGGCATACCTATTCTTTAAGGTTTTGTCCTTTTCCTGAACTAACTTAATAAGTAAGCACCCTCCTCAATTAAGTACCCTCCTTCCACTTCCAATAAGGCCCCTCCTTTAAGCCAAAATTCTTAATAAGCACCTTGGTACTTTCACTAGCAAATATAACATTCATCTGAAATGGTAACAATAAATTTCTTACCAACTCCCACAGCTTTGTCAATTCTCTTCATGCACATGTCATCCATAGCCATCTTTTGATCCAGTGCCAGTTTGCGGCAGTGCTTGGTAGAGAAATCTTGCAGTGGCATCTGGTAAACGCGCTGCTTCAACCAATACCTAGCACCCTTAGACTCAAGTTTTGGAATCTTTTCTTCTGGCAGCTTAGACATGAACTCTGTTATCTTAAAAAAAATAAATAAATCCTTAAATTTACAAAATCTGATTCATTTAATAATATCTCCTGGTAGCTCCTAAACATTTCCTTGTAAGTAATATCAGAAATCATACGGTCTTAACAAGATGAAAGTGATAAACAGTGTTTTCCATTATTTTAAGCACCACAGGCAAAAAATTTTCAAACCAGAGAAAGCAATACCTTCACCAGTTGAATTTTCAAGAAGGATTCCTGGCAACAGTAACATGTAACTGGTTTAAATATACAGTGTACCTGTCCACTTGTCAGGCCAGCAGGCACCCACACAAATCCTTCTGCATTGGCTTCCTTCACTTTTGTCAATGATGACTTTGGTGGTTTCTCTTCAACCCCCATACGGTCTTCTGGCAAATTGTTATAGCTTGTATTTAGAGGAATGTCATGGCACTCTAATGGACATTTGCAGAAAATACAGCTCTTTCTGAAAATGTGGAAAATACACTTAGGAGAGATCCTCATAGGCCTTGCCATATGCACCAAACTCATTGACAAGCAAGGCCATTTACTGCAGTCACCAAGAGATGCCATTTCAAGTAAAAGCAAATCTTTAGTCCCTTGAAGTTAACAAATACTTTGAAAAATCATTGAATAATGCTTAGTACTGTTAATAATAATAATAATAATAATAATAGTAATATATTTATAGAGTGCTTTAACTATTGGTCAATATTCAAAAGTGCTGTACAATAAGAATATATATATCTTATTAGACGTTTTGTTGTGTAGTATCACTGAGTATTTTTACGAGTTGTGCTGTATATTAAGCGCATAGAGTTCAATTTTAATGCGCTATATAAGAACTTATTATTAAATTAAATTTTGACGAGCCTGTAGGGCAAATCAAAATACAAATAACGAGTAAAAATACTCAGCGATACTACACAATGAAAGGTCTAATAAGTTATTTATTATCCAACACGCCAAACTGTTATTTCAGTGTGGGCGAATTTTGTTGATATTTATTTACGAAGAGTACATGTGCTGTATTCGATTTACGTTTACATTAATTCAGCCTCGCTTCCGTTCATGATTCGATGTATAATCACTTCCGGTAATGGCGACGACACATGTTAGAAAATATTAAAAGCTCTGTGTTGAAATCCAAGAATATATCTCCGTTTCTCGTGCCATCCGAACACCACAGCTATATAAGAACTTATTATTAAATTAAATTTTGACGAGCCTGTAGGGCAAATCAAAATACAAATAACGAGTAAAAATACTCAGCGATACTACACAATGAAAGGTCTAATAAGTTATTTATTATCCAACACGCCAAACTGTTATTTCAGTGTGGGCGAATTTTGTTGATATTTATTTACGAAGAGTACGTGAGGGAAGTATGGGAAGCGGAAAGGAATTGGCGCGTTGTGTTGTTGTTTCTATTTTCTTCGTTATTTGAAGAAATTTTCTAGTCGTAAAGCTGTTTTTCTTTGTTCGATTCATTTAGTAAACTTGGATCTATATTTGCCAGCCATTCTGAGTCTTCATCGTCGGAAATATGATCCAAATTGTCCACCACTTTTTTTTTCGCTCCCGTGATGTGAGAAAACCCGTTTCACCGGTACTCTACAATAGATGAGTACAAATACCCCGTGATATTTGTACTCGTCTATGGTGTTATTTGTACTCGTCTAAGTGTAGTTGGATAATAAATATTAAATAATACCTTTATTTACATTCAGCCAATAAAATTATCTAACATTTTTACACAACTTGTTCTAAAGCTAAGCCTAAATGCTATATGAAATCAATCTACAAATTGAATGAACAATGCTCAAAATCCAGCTATAATAATTCTTGAAATAAGAATAACTGAAGCTTTCAAACCAAAATAATTCTTAATAATAACAATCACTAATATGATCAAGGAAGCTAAAAAAGTGTTTCAGTATCAACAATAATAATAATAATTTACATCTTATAGAGCACTATTTACAATGACAGATCAACAGCACTGTACAATTAATGTACTAACCCACCCATCCCACCTCAGGGGAGGACATCCATCACACAGTAATCTCATGCGTGGGAAATTAACGTCTCCTACCCCTAACCCTGCAGGAGACGGAACCTCCATTTATTCATCCCTATCCGAGAAGACTAGAATATCTAACCATTTCTCGATGTTATAGAAAGGTAGCATATTCTTCTCAATTATTTTAAGACCTTAA